ATTCAAGATAATGATGAATGGATGGGAAGCTTTAGGCAACGTCTTTCAGCCAGTGTCAATGTAGTGCCATCAATGACTGAATGTAAACATGCTTTCCAGTTCTTTGATTAGCAGCACAAAAGACAGCAGATAAAATGTTGATTTAGCACAAACAAACCTATCCATTTAATGCTTATTGCTCGTTACTTTATGATGGCTAGAATGTAGATTATTGTATTGTTTGGCCCTTCATGCTGCTAAGCAATCATTGAAAGACATTTTCATCAGAACAACTTTACTACGCCGGTATTTGTGCATCTGGGCCACTTAAAAGATGCAAAAATAATCGTTTTTACCTTATCTGCCATTAAGTGTTGTCGGAATCTTTCGCTCAAAGGGGAATGAACATAAAATGGCAGCGTTAATTTCTCTTTTCGATTTATTTTCAGTGGTAATCAGCGTTCGGTCAGAACCAGGAATCAGGGTGCGTTTATCTAAAAGAAACTGTTTCATGCATAGTCAGCTGGCGTTGTTTTAAAGTTTACGTCAGGTTTTTAGCGGTCGATTCAATTGATACGTCTTACTTGTTTTGCCCCAAAATAAGGTAGCCTGTTTTGATCGTAATCCGCTCTCCGATCTAAGGACGCTGAGGTGGCACTAGGGTGGTATGTAATCTAACGCTGATGACGCTGAGAATGGGAGGTTCAAAATCATAGCAACGTACGAGTCATACGAAACATGCAGTTCTTGCGGCGCCAAGAAAGTTTTCCGTCGACTTTGGTCTCAAGAAAATATGTAAAAACTTGTTGAGTAGATTGAAGCTAATATTACTAAGGCGATTTCGCTAAACAATACACTTTTGGTTGACTTGCTAAGTTGCAGTTGCAGTCGAGAATGACGATGAAGAGGTTGAGAATTATGGCAAGGAGAATGAATAAGAAGAGGGTGATGATGGTAAAGTTAATATTAGAAGGATCTATAAGATAAGGAAGACGAGACTGACAACAATGAGGATAATTAAGGTGGAAGAAATATGAATAATAGTGAAGATAAAATTTTGGACAGGGAGGATGAAGATTGATTAGGGGAAGGACCGGGAAGAAGAAGAGGAAGATAGGTATGAGAAAAATAATAGTCAAGATATCTTCTTCAAGGTGGCTTTCTTTGCATGACTTGCACATTTTAAGCACCTCATTTGGTAATGGATCTCTCAAAAGGGCAAATTTATATTTGCGTTTCCTTTTTTTTATTTGACATTTTAATGAATTCGAAATGAGTCATGGTTTGTAAATTTTAAAGTTTGTTTCATTTTTCTACTTATCTTAGGACTAAAAGCAAAAACCATGCATACGCAGATGGGATTCAGAATCAGCCGTATTTCGAAGAAGACCGCCAGAACTCACCAGTAAGCTCTGGCCTTATTAGACCTTCAAAATATCTAAACGTTGTTTTCAAAGTGTTCAGTGTCTGTTTTTTATAATGTTTATATTTTTGGTTTTTGTGTTCACTGCCATTTGTAGTTTCCTTTGGATGGGTGAGGGGTTTTCTCAAAAGTGTTCAGAGATGTTCATCGAATGACCGCGTAGAACTGCTTGTAGCGCAGCTGAGGTGGACATTTTCTGGTAATAATGAGTTCTCATGTTCTTGTGTAAGGTTTGGTCGTGTCATGGACCATTTCTTGCCATTTTTTAAAAGGTGGTTAGAAACATGGTGACTAACGTACTTGGACCAAGTTCTTGAAAGCTGTGCGTCCTGCGTGCTTAAATGATATTTTCTCTGCTACGGTTTTACGTTTTGGGCGCTGTGGCAAGGAGGACGATTTCGAACTGCCGAAGTGCCAGTTTCGAATCCCAAAGAAGACAAAATTTGTCTTAGCCGCTTGAGCAGGAAAGTAATCCCACATGCACTCAGTCTATTAACGGGTAGCAAGTCATTGACTTGCAAACAGTAGGGGCAGCATGGTCTTCTGGTATGGTTATATCACAATGGACAAGAGAGCTGATGCAAGCGTTTTTATAACTGCAAATCGAATTTAGATGATAGATGCTCGTTCAACGTGGTAATCAGTAAACGATATAACCCTTGCTGCTGTTGTTCACTTTACACCCTTGACTCATGTTTATACTGATTATGTTACTAACGAATTGGAACCTCAAAGAGTGTACATGCTTTAAACCAAGAAACTTTGCCAAATTTTTGTTCATTCTTAAGAATCATCTATGGCCTAAAACACAGTTTAAATGAATGAAACATTAGTGTCTGATGGTGACATCTGATTTTAATGTGCTTGCTGTTATTCAAACAGAAAATGTTTGAAACGCTTCTAATAAATTATGGGCTCTCTCGTGGATCACTTCACATCCAATTTATTTTGGTAGCCTAAGTATAGGCATTATGCCCTTTTCAAAAGGATGATGTAATGAATGTACGAATTCTGCCAATGCTCTTATTCTGAATTCTGCGGAAGTTCACCAGTCAACTAGCTGCAGGATTTCTGCTCCTTTCTTAACCATCTGTCGAATGTCGTTTGTCCGTTTTGTCGACCAGTTGTTACCTCCATTCAGATTCCAGCCGGCACTGTGCTTACATCAAGGATTTCTAAAAAACTGATACGGAACGGCGGGAACCAATTCAGTCTGGTTAGATTTGTAGAATTATGCCCCCTCTCGGATGGGTCCACTTCTGCTAAAATCGATCCAGTCAGCAGTTTGGAGATTTGTCTTTATATGTGGAAATGATGAACCCCTATCCCATATGAATACTTTACTGTTCATCGATAATTTCCAAAAGTTACGAGACAAAAGTAATACATGTCTATTTAACGCCGGACAGGATCTTTCATGCATGTTTTGCGAAAGCAAGAGGCAATCTGCGTTCACCACCAGCTCGTTTCCCATTTGTCGCTTTCAGGGCTTGGCAGAGTCACCCATCAATTCGATGGCTCACCAGCTGGTAATTGTCGTTCCTTCGTTATGCATCAGTCACGATGCACCGAATTGCTGAAGTCTTCATGACCATCCTGCGCTGTTGCACAGACGAATATACAACTTGTTCTCATATTCGGACCACGCAGCGGATCATACGAAGATGATAATGCGCTGACTGCCATATCTGAATGACTCCGTTCATCGCCAGGAATTCGATCGGAATTTTCTTGACCAAGTTGGTTATCCATCATTCAGCATTTAATGCAATAATGACAGCGGTACGGCCGCCCGTTGGAACATAACTGCTAGCAAAGCTTGCACGGCCTGCTACCTGCCACGGAAGATAGTCATTTTACCGGGCTCACTATCGTTTCACCAGACTCATTAAGTCCAGGTGGACTAAATTAGGTTTATTCAACCATCGCTGCTGATCTGTTCTCAACTTATGATCTAAACGAAGAATGGGAGAAAAGCTTAGTACTGAAACTTAGTGCAAGTCGTTTTCATGGGTGATTACAGCTGAGCGGCTAATTTGTCGTTTACAGACCGCCACGTGGTCAGTTGGCAGGTTGAATATCTTTATCATCCGTGTAATATGGACTACATGGACATAACTAAGCCCCGCGTGCATGCGAATTAAAAAGCCGTTGATTTAGCGCAATGTCACAACCCAAAGTTATAACTATCGGTCGATCACGGACTGCAAACTGGCTCTTCTACACACTCACTGGTTTCAAGGGACGGCGAATCTGTGGCTCAAGGAAGTCAGGTTCCATGAATTATCTATATTGTGGCAACTTTAATCTCCGCCTCCTCCTTGATGCCTATGTGTCTGTGTACTCGTACATGGGAACTGCGCTGTGGAAATGATGTTGCAACATTGCCAGGAGTAATTGTGTTCGCTACTAGGTTTGACGTTGGCAGAAGATACCAGGTTACAGTCGAGGAATATTTCATGGAACGCTATAACATCAGACTCAGGTAAAATGACTTTGTTCATTGTCTTAAGTGCTACATGTGAAATTATGGTACCCTTGCCTTCCGTTGATAGTCAAGGGTTCGGCATTTTTGCCAATGGAAGCCTGCGAGATAAAGCCGTACCAAAAAATTTGGCTGAATCGTTTGAAAGCTGAAGATCAGGCGGCAGTCATTAAACATAACGCACTTCCTCCGTACCAGCGTAAGCAAGAGATAATGCGCAAGGTATTGCAATGCATATAAATGTTTCATAGAGGATGATGGTGCTTGCGAGGGCGGCCTGAGATTAACCTAAGCTCTGAAAATTTTGCTGAGTTCGCTTTCAGTAATTTCACTAGCACATCTGATGAATTTTTGGCTTTATATCAATTCTGTGCATTATAGCGGCAAGTTCTTCCTGTTGAAACTGGGTCGAAAGTTGCGAGGAATAAGGACACGGAATTCGGACGAAACACTTTTATAACACGCTCTTGTATGCGGGCAATGGCTGCCAGCAACACATTTGCTCTTCGTCTTTGTCCCAGTTTTCCATATGTTCTTCTGACGCAGGCTGGTGCCATCATTTAGCTGCGGATCCTTTGTTCGTACTCAATGACCAATTCGCATTGACCAGTTACTGCACAGAACTTTTGGTACGAGGTACCACCAAAAAAATATCATGTCATCATCTTGGTCTTCAAGTCATTTCATGGATACCCACGGAATCCTCTTTGCTCTGCTCACACTTCCGGATTCTTATGGCGAAGCTTCTGATTGTCTCAGGATAGTTGCAGCCGGTCGTTGTTGGTTACTGCACCACGTCTAATGCGATGAACATGAAATAACGTGTTTCCTGTACATGAAAATTTATGCTGTCCTCTCAGACTTTTAGTCAGATTAGCAGTAAGACACTGTTTCATGTATTTTCATATCGACTAGCCTGCCATAGGCCGGGTTAGCTGTGTCAGTAGAACGTCAGACTCCTAACTAAGAAATCAGCTTCGAACTGCGGTCCAGTTACTCGCCTTTTTTCCTCCAAGGTTGATAAATGGGTATCACTCTCTGTAAAGGAAGCAGGTGATGGCAAATCATGCTTGCGTGCATGACGCTGTCTTTAAAGTCTGGCACTCTCCGCTAATTCCTCAGGAGCGAAAATTCCCGCTATGCCAGAAACTCCATGAAACAGAACGCTACACAAACGGGGACTGGCATCCCAGCGGTCACAAATGTTTATTATTTTCCTTCCTTAGTGAAAACAGCCGAAAGAGGATTCGACAGATTCATGCGATTTACGATCTTTTGACGCAGGTATTCGAATCATATTCCTGACATGCAGAAAAAGAACGCAGGCATTTTCGCTATTCCACCGAGCACATCGTGCCAATTTAAGACGATGCAGCTTTCGCTTTTTTGAAGCGATGTTTTTGTAGTTTCAAACATTTGCATGTTATCATCAAAGTGTAAGTGAAACCGACATCCAGTGGATTAAAAATTAGTCCTCATGCATTTTCATCAATAATAGCAAGAAAATTGAACAAACGTAAACAGTAGTTCGCGTTTTCGCCTCTCATCCGGATTAGATTTATTTAGTGTAGTGAACAGCAAATATCCATTTTTCAGCGGGTCCAGCATTTGGGCAACATACAATTATATATAACGAGCAAAAGAGAAACTTCACAGCATCTTTGAAAGTGACGTCATTGAATTCATGCTCCTTCAGAATCCGGATCACGTGAGACAATACGCAGTACTGAGCTTTAGAAAGCCTCAATACGAGCGTACATTAGATTCAGATCTGTACGTCTGACCCTCACATTCAGTTTGCAGCTGGCCACCATATCACGCAAGAGGTAAGACGGATACACTAAAACGTTATTCGCGAAGGTTTCAGTGCATAGCAAATGTCGTCGATCACTTCCGAAGTGATCCTCTGATATGGTATAGGCCAGCTGCCTTGGCAGACAGCCCCAAGTTGTGTCGCAAGGCCCTGAAATTATCCATCGACAGAACCCCAGAAAGCATGGGAGCTGTGTACGTCACTGCAGGAGCAATGCACCCCAAGATTAATGAAAGAATGCTTCTGGGTCCAGATAATTAGATCAACATTACAGTTCGTCCGTCGTCCGAGCAACATTCTGAAGCGCCTGGGAACTCGTTTTTCGAGGCATGGGCTCGAATCACTATCCGATATTCAGCCAGGGCCAAAATCATGTGTGCGACCTACCACCACTTTTCTACACTGTGCACTTTGTTCTGGCCGAATCGTACAGAAACCAGCAACTTTTGAAGCGGATTTTGGTGAAGCAGCTTATGCGTAAACTCTCTACTATGTACGGCTCAAAAATAACACAATAACATATTTATTGCATGTATAACGATGCCGCGTAACTTGTTCAATTTTCAGCTGCCTCAACACTTGAGGTTTCTAAATTTTTCGACAGC